TATGGAGGAACTTTTGTGGTGTACTGACATCATCAGAAGGGAAAAACTGGACTTGATCACAGTTACTTCTTTGATGGTGAAAAACACATTCAGCCCATAAGAGTCAGCGATGAAAACACAAAGAAATCAATAATAATTAAATGAATGGTGATATTAAATCCTGTGACCATGGTTTGTGTCGTATTACGTTGTTATACTCAGAAAAGTCCAGCTTTGCCTTGACTGGAGCAGAGGAGGCCACAGCTCCATACACCAGATTGGGAAACTGCAGTACAGAGCGAGAGAAGACACACAAACAATTAATATATTTCTGTTGATTTTACATGATTTTTGTAAAACATAAAGATCAATGTTAACAACCCGATAATCTATACATGTCTTTATATCCAACGCTTAACATGTAACATTCCTCTCCACGCCACTGTCCAAAGACACACCGTTACACTACATGACTCCACTTAATATGGTGACTGAGCTTGGTTTAGCTCCTTGCTTTTGCTATACAGGGACTAATGCAGCAGTCAAATCCATACTTGAAAGTGGCTTCATCCTCAGATGTTCTAAAAGAATTTCCTAAAATCTTCTTTACCAAACACCACTTAAACACTTCCTCTTTCTTTGGGAATGAATTCATGGAGAGCTGCATGCAGGCTATGAAGAGTGGAAGCAGCAATCGATGTACTTCTATATACAGCGCTGAATATATGCTCCTTCCTGATTTCAAATTCAAATTCAAATTTTATTTGTCACACACACACAACCATACACAGTATGACATGGGGGTGAAATGCTTGTAGCTGAACAATGCCCGACCATTAAATGACAGAAAAAAGTTTTGCAGTATTTACAATTTACAGGTTACTACAAAATTTACAAATTAACTTAGAAATTTACAGTAAAAAATGTGCAAATAGCAGAAAGAGGTTATAAAGATTATAAATTATAGGAAATGTGTGGTGGTGCGTGTGGTGATGTGTGTGAGAGTCCAGTCCTACACCTGGTAGGACTTTTCTTATTTCTTTTGCATATTTCTCACATTTGCAAGTGTCAGAATATCAAACAAATTCTAATATTAAACAAAGATAACCAGAGTAAATACAAAATTGCAGCTTTGAATATTTATTTATTGATTAAGTGCTTTTAAGAAGTAGTTTTTTTTAGCGTATTTAAAGCTATCCAGAACTACATGATCCTCATTTTAAAAAGTAATTGCCCACTGAAACTAATAACTGGTTGTGCCACCTTTGGCAGCAAGAACTGCAATCAAATGTTTTTGATAACTAATAATATGAGTCTTTCACATCACTTTGGAGGAACTGGAGGATTTTTGAGCATGAACGGCCTCTTTAAGTCATGCCAAACATCATGAGTCTGGACTTTGACTAGGCCACTCCAAACCCTGACGGCCAGACATTCTGCTTCAGGATTTTCTGGTAAAGTCCAGAATTCATGGTTTGGTGAGCTTTCCACCCCCCCTTATTACCTGAAATCACTATTTTAAATACTGCATTTTGTATGTACTGTGTATTTGTATGTGCTTATATTTGGCTAATATTAAAATTTGTTTGATTATCTAAAATATGCAATTCAACATGTGAAAGATATGTTAAAAAATCTGGAAGTGGGAAACACTTTTTCATAATGTAGTTGATTTGAGTCTTTTTATGGGATTTACTAACAAAACCATAGAGGTAGCATAGTAACGTCATGACCTCAGAAAGGGTACTGATTAACTCTTTGTCTAGAAAATCATTGCACAAGAGTAACCACAAATATTCACTTAAAGAATCATCTTCTTTTAGTTTGTGGACTTGCATTCGTATAGTAAGATGAGATTCAGTACTTTCT